AAAAAAAATCCACAACAATCTCATATGGTAAGTGCTATTATTACCCCCATTATAAGAGGAAAGTGGAGCTCAAAGGGATTAAGTAGTGATTTATTTAATGTCAAATACTCCTAACCAGAGATGTAAAGGAAACTATATTTTGCCAACTTGGACTTTAAAGTCCATATGCTTAACCAAGATACCAGTATATCACCCTAAACCCACTAAATAGCCTTTTCATAATCCCAGCCACCAATTACAATGAACCTCACAAACTTGGACAGGGGAGAAGATAAGGAAGGGAACAGCTTGTCTGTTTCACAACATTAAGGGGAAAAAGTAGTCTATACTAAGCATCTACTGGGTGCTGAGTACCTTACATACACACATCTAGTTCTCATAAGCCCACCAGGACATAATTCAGTAGCCCCATCTCACAAGTAATGAGGTTAAGACATCTCTAAGACAGACTCCTTGATTTTCACATATACTATGCTTCTGATTGTTCAAGAAATAAAACTAAGGGCTGGGGAGACAACTTAGTAGGTAACTGCCTTCATCGGATTTTAGTAGAACCTGAGTTCAGATCCTCAGCACTTGGTGGTGATGCATGCCTGCAATTCCAATGCTGGGAGACAGAAACAAGATCCTGTGGGTCTTCTTGGCCAGCTTGTGTAGTCAATCAGTGAGCTCCAGGTTCAGTGAGAAAACTTGTCTCAAAGAACAAGGAGGAGAGTGATAGAGGAAGACTCCTCATGTTGACCTCTGTCCTTCATATGCACACACCACACACACACACACACACACACACACACACACACAGAGAAAAACAACTGAAGCTGGGCCTAAGTCAACATCTGTAAGAGTTCCCAGAGAAGAATTCAAATACCAAAGAAAGCATGATTTTTCTGTGTTAGAAAACTGAGGTTAAATCCTCTGTCCTGAGACAGCTAACTAGCTGTGGCCTGACTCTGTATGCTCAGGCATACAGAAACAAGACCAAAATAAAAGCCAGAAGGAAACAAATCAAAACTTAATACACAGGAAGGACTGCAAGTGAGTGGTCTGCCCCCCCACTTGACCTACGGTCTTTGGGTGCTCTGGTTAGTAACCACAATACCAAGTGCACTTAGTGAATATTAAGCCATCAATATGCAAGTTATACAAACTGGCCAACCAAGTTCCAATGAGGGCATGATGGGCCCTCATTCTGAGTCCTCACAAAAGCCTGGCAGTCCCTATCTCAGACACCTCTGAACTTCTAGAGCCAACCACTACCGGCTTGCTAGGGGTTCTCATGTCCCCCAGTTAAGTGTAGACTCCTTCCTACTCTTTTCTCCAACAGTTGAGTTTTTGTTTTCAAGGGCACTAAGTCCCAGTCAGTCTCTGAGATGGCCACAGCACATTAGTAATCACTGACTCACCCCATCCCTCTGAGGTTGGGGGAATGCAGAGGGCCACAGGATGTGTGGCCCAGATCCCTTTGGTCCTTTGCAGAGCTGGCAGGCAGAGCGGTGCCAGTAACACGACTTCCCCTTGGAACGTCCTGGACCCTGAGTCGGAGCGGTGCCAGTGGGCTGATGTCAAGCTCTCCAAAATGGCAGAGGCCAGGATCTCTAGACAGCTCCACCGCTGCCAACAGATCTAATCTCCTTCTTTCAAGGCAGATGAAATCCAATAAGGGCTGCTAAGTCTACAACTTATCCCTCCTCACTGGCACAGTCAGCCCTTCAGGCTATACCAGCAACACACCCAGAATTATTATTGCCTCTTAGAAAGTTCTTTGGGGAATTGAAAGTTATTTCAAGTTTTCAAAGATTTATCTGTCAGTAAATGTTGAGTTTCTTTCTCAAAAACTGTTTAGTTTCAACATATGGCCCAACTTCATCCCAGTGATACCTGCTACTAGCCTTTCTATTCACAGAGCCACTCACAAAAATGGAGAGCCAAATCCCACACCAAAGGAGAGCCCAAAGCAAGCTCTAAAAAATCCATCTTTATAGACCATCCTTTTTGAAACCCACGGAAAGACTACAAAGAAGCACAAGCAAAGAACACAAACCAGCCACTAGGGCTTAACATGAAAAGAAGAAAAAAGAAGGCGGGATGTTTTGTGTATTGTTTCAGTTTGGAAAAAATACTCTAGTGAAATGGCTTAGCCACATGCTCAGCCTAGACAAATCCACTCTAACTTAGCAGGATGCCTGCAGGCGGGTCTGAAATAAATAAGTAGAATGGCATCACTCTTTATTCTCCCTGCCAGCCCCCTCTCAGTTCCCCCCTCTTCCCCGAAACATCTGGTCTGGTCTCCATGTTAAACAACGGAAGAAAATCTATAAAGATTGGGGCTGAGGAACCAACAGCCCCAGCTTCCGAAACTGCCCCGCCAGCGAGGTCCCGGGAATAGAATTCTGGGACCCGACCGCGAGACGGAGGGGAGGTGGGAGACGTGATCCGGCCCGCAGGAGAGGGCGGGGAGCCCGGGGACCCCCTCCTCCTCCGAGGAGCCCGGCGGTTGTGGCGTCGTCCCCGAGCCCCCGACAGAGCTGTCCCCGGCCGCCAGCGGCTGTCTGACGTTCCGGGGAAAGCGCTCGAGGCCCGAAGGGGTGGGCGGGACCAGACCGGGCACCGAGTCCCACCCGGGGCGTCGGGAGCCGGGACGGCATGAGGGAAGGAGCGGGGCTCAGTCCTCACCAGCACCAGGGCGAATCGCTCCTCCAGCTCACAGGGCTCGGGCATCGGCATCTTGCCCGGCGGCAGCAGCAGCGGCATGGGGGGCGGCTCGCCGGGGCCCCCCTCGGCGCTCTCCAGGTTGCCCATCGCGGCGGGGCCCCCTCGGGGGCCTCAGCCCTCCACCTCCACGCCTGGGGCCCTCAGGCTGGGCCGCTCGGACCTGGCTCCTGCCTCAGAGCCGGCTCCGGTCCCGATTCCTCGGCCCCTCTGGGGGCGCCCGGACCCCGCGGGCGACGGTGAGCAGACAGCCCCGCTGCGGCGTCTGGATAGCGGCGGCCGGCACCGGATCGCCACCGCAGCCTCGCGGCTCCCACAGCGCCGCCCCTGCGCCGCCCCTCCCCACCTTCCGCGCTTTTTCCCTCCCCCGACAACTTCGCTTCCTCCCACCCACTCCCCGCCGCGACTCCGACTTCCCCGCGAGCTAGCGCCGACTGCTGCTGACTGGCCGCGCGCCTCATTCATGCAAGGCCCCACCTCCCGCCCACCCGCTCCTCAGAGGCCCGCCCTGCCCCGCCTCGCCTAATTGATAGTCGCGCTGGCCAATCACGGTGCCTCCCGCCCTCAGCGGCCTCGCGCCTAGCTCTGAGCGCACCCTAGCGGCCCCGGTGGGCATCCAATCACCCCGCTCGCTGGAGGCTGTGGGGCGCAAATGTATTAGGGTAGAGACACAGCATCTGTTACAGAGTGATTGTGCTGGCTGACGCCTATAATCCCAGCCCAGCATTCCCGAGGCTGAGGCGGGAGGATTGCCATTTAAGACCAGCCTGGGCTAAGTAGCGGGTATCAAGCCAGCCATGGCTACAAAGCAAGAGCCTTTCTCAGAAAAAAAATATATATATATTTTTTTATTTTTTAAAATTATTTTTTTAATAACCACATAATTAGAAGAATCATTTCATTACAACAGCATTGACATATTCAATAACAGTTTCCAGAACTAAGATGCATCTCTTTCAAAATTGGCTGTAAATTTTAAGTTTACAGTTGAATTATTACAGTTATAGAATATTGTGCTCAGTATAAACCCTATAAGACATGAAATTAAATGAGTTTTTAACCTTTAAAAAGATCTCCATTTCATTTTAAAATATACTGTTTCTTACAGACTCATTGTTTTTGCTAATAACACCGAGATGTTGGCACATGCATCTCTAATCTGTATGACTAGTAATCTGATTATTACTAGTCATAATCAGTTGCACTGGGATCCTTGGCACCTGTGTATGTCTATAAAGTCATCGGGTAGATGTCAATAGTAATGGTTATCACCTCTACTAATTAACATGACGTAACTTTTTATGCTTCCTCCTCAAATATAATTCATTTTTTAAAAATGTGTTGATTTCTTTGTGTCTGTGTATATCACACAGAACATCCCAAACCTTATTCAACTGTACACCCACTTCCCATATGGCACCCTCCCATAGCCTCCCTGCACTAGAGCCCTTATACTCTGTCATCCCTGCTACTGTCCGCTGTGTTGTCGGCACCCCCAGCCGTTCCCCACTACTTGTCCATCTGGTGAATCTAGTCAGCCTATCTAGAGGGCTTTGTTTTAGGAAGGTCAGCTGTTCCTCATCTAACAGCAATCAGTTATCAAACTTTAGATAAGATTGGGGTCTGCTGTTCATTTTCCCAGTTCTGTGCTGGGTTACTATCTGGGAGTCCCTTGGGCCACCCTGGCCAACAACTCAAAAGAAGGTATCTCCTGTCTGGCATTGCTGATTGTTATTCAGCCTTTAGCTATACATATGGACTCTTAAAAAATTATATTGGCCCCTTTAATCTTTGTAATCTTTGGTTATACTTCCCTTTTGGGTGTTTAAGGACATACAATTGGACCAGATGAACTGATTTGTTTTTACTCTTGAGGTCGTTAGAGGATTTGTTCTTCAGGGGTCCCATGGGGTTGGGAGGAGCCCCTGGCTCCTTTCTTTTACCAGCTCCATCCATGTGAGGATAAGTCAAAGGTCCTGCTCGACCATTGTTGGCTCCTCTTGGAAGCATGGAGGAAATGATTCCTCTGTGTTGAACCTCCTCTTTGTAGTCTGGACACTGGTTCAAGTCCATCTCGTGGGGCCCTCGGCCTCCTTGATCAAGAGGACAGGTGACCCACCACAATTACAGGTTTTTGTTTTTTGGGGGGTTTTTTTGGTCTTTTTGAGACAGGGTCTCCCTGTAGCCCCAGCTGTCCTGGAACTCACTATGTAGACCAAGCTGGCCTTGAACTGGGGTCTCCTCGGCTTCCTTGATCAAGAGGCCAGATGACCCACCACCATTACAGGACATTTTGCGCGATGCTCATAGTCCCTGGGAACTAATCGACCCAGGAGGGCAAGGAGCAAAAAGTGTCCTTTGATTCCCTCTGACCCAATTAGTATAGATTTCAAGGTATGTCTGTTAAACATCCAAGAAGGTTAGTTCCACCATTCTGGCATTTTTAATTACTGTGTGTCTTGCAGATAAATCTTGGGTAAAGACCAATTGTTCTCAGATAAACCTTAACTAGACATATATTTCTTGATCTACTATGTATAATTTGTCAGTAGTTTGTAGGAGTAATATGGTTCCCTCTGGTTTTCAAAACTAGCTAGGCATTATTTATCTCTCGCATTGTCTCACCCCGCCACCATAATTTTCATCATGGTTTTCCCCCCGTTTCCCCCCTTTCTCCCTTAATAATACCCTTCTCTTATGGTCCTACCTCTCTTGACATCCTTCTTTCCCTTTATCCCCTAGGTTCCTTGTACACCCTTTCCTCTGCCCTCCCTTAAACTAACCCTATTTTTATCCATATCTCCCTTATTAAGGCCTGTTTCCTACTGTTCTTCTCTTTCAGGTTCTTTTTTTCCTTTACCTCCCTGGTTCTTTTCCATTATCCTGGTTTCTGTAATTATGTCTGGATACATACTC